ACAGAGAGCGGCTTAGGGAAATATTTATAGGACACACACACACACACGGCTGTGAACACTGACACATTCTTTTCTAGATAGACCGCTCAGGGCAGAAGCAACATGACGAGCCATTGTTATTCAAAAAGTATAAATCCTGAGCTGTGGGCCTTGTTCTTCACAGGGACAGAGTCACACAAGCAGAGAGRGTCAGAGAAAAGGAGAGAAAGACATTAAAAAAACAAAACAAAGAGACAGAATCTGGCAAATAATCAGACAAGATCCCCTTCTGGAGGATTTAACACAGATTAAATGTGTTTCTGGGCTGAGTTTATATTTTTGTTTTTYTTATTGCCAGCTGCTGTGCTTCTGTCATGTTAGCAAAAACTCTTATGAACCACTGAGCGGTTTTAATAAGGCTTTCAGAGCGTAATCATTGGACGGCCAACATTTTCCCCTCAGATTATTTCATCATTTGCTCCTCTCCTGGTTCATTTGCTTGTGATTGTACAAAGTAAGCCCTTGTAATTAGAATAGGTAGGTCTCAAAGGTTTGCTTTCTTTTTTTCTAAAATCAGGTTTCAGCCAACCCCCTCCAGCTCCAAACTCTACATGGTGACTTCTGACCTAAAAATAAAGTGGCACTGTTATTCTGAAATATCTTCCATGCAGACATCCTCCATCTAAGGCTGATACCCCGTTAAATCTTGAAAATCTGCTCTCGCTCACAAGGTTGTGAGACGTTCTTGTTTACATTGGCTTTTTATGCTCAGAGAGAAACTGCAGCTCAGTAAGGCCCTCCCTCTATCCCACCAGCACAGACACAAAGAGCCGCCTGTGTCTCCGCGCTGTCTCATACGTCAACTACGTTTATAACAACGCATAAAGCTGGTGATTGACACCTCTAATGTCCAAGTCCATCAGTTTCATAAATACAACAATGAACAGGGTGAGGGTGGGTAATATTTCTTAGCACTGAGACATGTAAAAAAAATGTTTGAAGCTGTTTTTGACTAATTTAGTGAGATTTTTGCATGCAATTTACAGAAACTTGTAGTTTCTATAACAACTTGACTGTCTCCTCTCCGCAAAAATATTGTACCATCTTTTTCCACAAGCAGTCTGACTATCTTTATTAGTTTTATTTGACCATCCTCAAAATTTCAAACAGTTGTAAAAGATGTTTTTTTCTAACAGCCTCGACCAGCTGCTCCTCAGTTAAGCAGTTGCGGTGAACTTCACCTGTTACTCCACATGAACACGCCCACAATGTTCCGACCAATCACACAATACTTGCTGCATACCCTGTGAGAGAACAAAGATATATATAATACACAAAATAACATCCAAATAACTGATATAAATGCATTTTTCAGGTTTTAACGTTTAAATATCTTCAATAAAACAGATTTAAAGCTAAAGAACCAGTGGGTGTTGTTTTTCATGAACTCTTCTTTTTCTTATTAATCTGCTCACAAGATTCTCCCGACATTTTTTTCATCCCATTTAGCGTTTGTTGTTTAAAGTACAACATGTGGAATATATGTATTTTCTGCTGCTGTGCTTCAACTAAAATATTCCCATGAATGATGCAGTCCTTCTAAGCTGCAAGCACACACACACACACACACACACACACACACACACACAC